TAAAGAAAAAAACTTACTTGTAAAGCGAAGAGGATACATATTTTGCTTTAAAATTTCTAGGTATTGAAAGAGTAAGTCCCTTGCCATTTCTTTCTTTGAGTCAATTTAGGTCTACCGCATCAACTGAATTTTACCCTCCAAGTTTACTCTTAAATTATTATAAATGCAAAATTCTATGTTTAAGAAAAAATTAGAAGACATCTTTTTATTGTCTCCTATTAAAGTCTCACAACCTGTTGATTTAATTTTTAAAATGAATTACTGAAGCCTGTGGGACAGGGTAAAATGGCTCATTAAATATTTATATTTAGTCCCAAAAAAACAACAAAGACCCATTTTATTATTTGTTTCATATTCAACCATGAATGAATGTTCACATTTATTCTTTTTCCCCAATTTTTCAAAAACTTTTATATGTTCTGGGTGATAAATACCTACCCATGACCCATTGCACCATTAGCTGGTTTTACTATAAAAGTTTTCTGCTTTCTCTTTTTCTTCAATTCTTTCATATAGTTCTGGAATTGTGTATATTCAGCAGGGAAGATCCATGTTCGAGGAACAAAGGTATAATCCAGAGGCCGGGACTTGATCATTCTGTAAATTAGAGATAATATGAAAAGTAATTTCCATTCAAACTTGTCTAAATTTTCTTTCTCTGTGCTACTGACATTTATTACAAGGATTTAAATTCCCTCCATTTCTTTTCATTTATTGATTCATTCAACACATGTCTGTAAAGCACCTACTATGTGCTAGGCATTATTCTAGACACTGGGAGGATACATCAGTGAAAAAAATTAGACAAGAACCTCTGTCCTATGTACTAATTTATATATTGGTAGATTACTTAAGTATATACTTTATGCTAGGCACTGGGGATATTAGGGTAATTTAATATGGTCTTAACTCTAAAGAATTCACATATAGGCTATTAAATACAATGTGATAGATACAATAAAGACATACATGGCAAGGTAATATGTGGAAATAGTAATTAACTCTGCATCAGGGATGACAGGACGGGTACCAGGAAATGGTGTGCCATTCGTATTGCTTCTTTAAAGATGATTTTGAGTCCTCAAGGAGTGGCTTTGATCATCTTTTACTCCAGTGTTTTTGAAGTTTAACTACCTTTCTGAGAAAACCATGTGAAGCCTAAGTATACTAGAAGTTTGTGTTTCTTTGTTCATATGAACTACATATGCCTATACATGTGGTTTTATGGCTGCAATGTATGTCCTGATATTTTTATATTTGCTAAAAACCAGGCTGCCTATTTGAAACATAAGGATAAAACTAGGCATAAAATGTTTACTTTTGATTAATCTCAATTGTTAACTGTTTTGTACATATTGATTCCCACTAAAAATGAAGATATTTTAAAATATAAGCAAAGAAAATCTGATTGCTTCAAGGAAGTTCTTTTTAATAAATGTACATAAGTCTTTTATAGATGAGATGATATTGTCTTCAAATGAGATTAGTCAAAACTAAAATGGAAGCACCATATATGGTATGCACAGAGGTAGGGCCTAAATTCTAAAAGGAGGGTGTGGAATGCATGAGCCACTTGGCCTCCACAACTGTAGGCTCCTATGGTTATATTTCAAGTGCTCTTTCAAAAGAACTCTGTAAAAAACTTATATTTCCATTATAATAAGGGAAGTAATTACCAACTCCATCTATCAAATCCAGAATAAGCCAACAAGCTAATTAATTTCAGTACAATATAGGCTAACATTGACTGGTTTGGAAAACACACACACACATATATCTAAAGGAAGCACAGTAACAGTGCTAATGTCCATGTTTTTGTTTCCAATACCTTTAAGTGTATTTATTATATTTTTAACAATGATATGAAATTAGATCAATTTAAAGTTTTCATTAAAATAATCTATTTTAAACTAATCATATAGTATTTATGAGTGATACCATTCTTTCACACATATATTTGGAAAAAATCCAAGCACACATATACTGAAGAGAAACACTTTATTCCATTTAGCAATCTAGCACAAATCATTTGATGTAAAAATGGATAGCTTCAAAAGAGACATGCAGTCTCTTTTGGAAATTTGGAATTTGGAAATATGGAATAATTTCTGCTCATAGCTGTCATGGATTTACTAAATGATATTAAACATGTAATTTAGTTAATTCTCAAATAGGTCATAACTTTCAATCTAATAGAAGATTGTTTTTTCCTTAAGGAGAATTCCAAAGATTCTATAAAAATAAGAAATTGCCTATTTTTAATAGCCTACTAATGGGTCTACATTCAACTTTCTTGACTCTCCTGACCATACAGACTTCTGTTCTCTACAGAACAGAGAGAATGATCTTTTTGAAATGCAAATCTCATCATATTACCAATTTCATCTCCCCCTCCTCTCCTGTGGAATTTAGGATAAGGACTATAATCCTAAACATCACGCTTCAACTAATCTCTCCTGGTCCCCATCGATGTCTCTGTGCTCTAGCTACACTTGGCCTTATTTCAGTATCCTGACTATTCCTGCTTTCTTGCACAAACATGACCTTAGCCCATACTATTCTTCCTGCCCAGAAAGCTGTTATATACCATTTTACCAATAAACTCTTAGTCAGGATTCAGATTTAGGCTTCCACATCACTTCCTTGGGGAAAGTCTCCAATGCCTCCCTAAGCCAGAAGTCCTTCACTATGCACTCATTTACAACTGTGTACCTTTATTTCATAGCACTTATCACAGTTGCAACCCAATGTTGTAAAAGCCACAAGTCTGCTTTTGATCACCTCATGAGCCCAGATGCCAGCACAGTGGCTCACATATAAAAATTATATTTAATAAGTATGTGTTAGATGAAAGTAAATGACTTCAGTGAAACACATGTCCCAAACTTTACAGAGGTAATTCCTGTTCCTCTGATGTCCGTTCTTCCTATAATCCCTGTGTTACTAAAGTGTTGTACCTTCATGATCTCCTAAACCAGAAGGCTACCTACCAGTCATCTTGAACATTTCTCTACTCCCCTTGGATTCTCACATCACAGCAGCTTTCCAGTCCTGTCAATTCTATCTCTTTTGTATTTTCCAGATGTATTTTCTCTTCCCTATTACCACTATCTCTCCTTTAGTGTATTAGTATTGACAGTCACCTACTCCAGGGCTTTCTCCTCCTTTCTACATTCTTTGAGTCCATTATCTATAGTCCCACCAAGATTATCTAAAACATATCATTTCTCTGCTTAAATCCATTAAAAAAAAAGTCTCACTTCTCTCAGGATAAACAGAAATGTTTGCTGAGTAGTTAAATAGATTAAAGAATCAATAATTAAATAATTGAACAAAATATAGTTACATGGCATCCGCAGCCTGGCCTTTGCATTTATCTCCAGCATCATCTCAGGCTAAGCCTCCTGACACCCTATAAAACCACAGAAACTGCTTAAAAGTTCCCCAAACATATCATGTTGGTTTAAGCCTCCATAAAGTTTCTACCACTGTTGTTTCTGCCTACAGACTCCTTGACTTCTTTTCAAAGAAGAAACTCTTATATACTTTTCAATATCCATTTTGATTTTCATTTCTCCAGAAAGCCTTCCCTGCTCTCCTAGAAATGACCTCTGTCATCATCTTTGTCACCGCCATACACTGACTCTGCCCCTCATGTGGCACCATCAAACTGTATTATATGTATCACTCTTTCTCCCTTATTAAAATTTGAGTTCTAGGCAGGGACCAGGCTTTATTTGTCTTCTTTACCTCAAAGTTAGCAGTCTCTAGTCTACAGTGGATATGCAAAAAATATTTGTTGAGGGAATGGATGTATAAAGTGTCACATGATACATATAAATATCTAATTACACACCAAGGTTACTAACCTTTCTCTGAGTTTTCTTTCTAAAAATGTTCTCAAATTATCACTTAACTTCCTTAAACTAAAAACAATGTAATCAATATAAATATAAATCACATTAAAAATTCTGCAGTTCATTTGGTATAGCACTTGAGAACTTGTGAACAGTGTTTCCTATAAAAGCAGACTGTTACTCCAAACACTGGTCTCAGACAAATTTATGTATATCCCTGGGTAGGCACATACACATGTGTCTATATGTATGAATGCGTACAAATTCACCTACTACAGTGTCTTGCACATGTTAGATGCTCAACAACCAGTATATGAATACACACACACACACACACACACACACACACACACACACACACACACAGTGTATTATGTTGCCAAACTGCAGTAAAAAGAAGCCTAAGATTCTGGAGACTAGGATTCTACTCCAGGTTTGCTATTAACTATTTGTTTGACTTGTGCAAGATATTCATTTTTGTGACACTCAGTTACCTCCTCTGTAAAGTGAAGGAAGAACCAGGGAACTTCTAACCCCTGCTAACTCTACAGTTCTCTCTTCCATCAAAGTATCATTTCAAATCAATGTAACCTGGTGAAAGATACACTATAATATTGAAAATGCAAATTTCAAAAATTATAAGAAATTCTCTATTATAAGTAAATGAAGATTACTTGGTCATATTTCTTGCTAAGAAATCCTTTCTACAGATCTCCCCCATTCCTGGAAAATGGTTGATCCTCTGGAAAATAAAAAGGTAAACATTAATGTTCTCATTGACTTAATGAATATATTCATTTATACTATAATAGAGTTACATCCATCTTCTGAGTTAAATATTTTTTAAAAACTATTAACATAAAACATTTAAAATTAAATGACCTACAAGGAATCTGTAGAATTCAAGAATCTACAATAAGCAAAGAATGAAATTGCAAATTTTTTCAGAAATCAGAAAAGGGTATTTACACAGGTATCAAAGTTACAATTTTCTGTGTCAAATAACTAGTAATTCTATGTCCAAATTATTTCTATTATCCTCAATTTTCTATATTCATACAGATAAGCATTGTATAAATATTGGTGAAAATGGCCTTGTTTGTTCCCTATGGTCAATTTTGTATTTCCCACCACACTAACAAAGAACTATACAAAATGTCAGTTGTCTAAAGTTCTGTGTATTTGGCTTTTTAGTTTGATGTCTATTTTTTAATATGCTTGCGTTACATTCTAAAAATCAAAGAATGAAGCCAGACTGCACATAGCAGACATGGTAAGGTACTTCTAGTTCCTGATCTGTCTGTGCAAGCTACTCCACATCACCCATCTTTAAGCATAACACAAAGCAGCAGTGTAGGAAGACTTTTCTCCTATTCATTCTTCCTTAAAGATGGAAAGAGGTTATGAGGCACCTGGGTGGCTCAGTCGGTTAAGCGTCTGACTCTTGGCTTTGGCTCAGGTCATGATCTCATGGTACGTTAAAAGTTTGATTTGAAAGAATTCAGGCCTTATGTGACGAGTCAGTACAACCGGACAGCAACAAAACAGGCTGTTTGGGTAAGTTAGAACTGAAATTTAATATGTCAACACATTAAGAACCAACCCTATCTAAGTAAAATTATAATGGAATTCATATAACTTTCCTGATAACCAATAATTGGTCATGATTAATTCCCCACCTGGTAATTTTGCAGCTCGGCAATCTTCTCCTGCTGAACTGCAGAATCACACCATATAAGGTTGCTTGTTTCATCCTCATCTGGAGTTTTCATAAATCCCATTTCATCTATTACTAAACGAACTGCAAGTAAACGGTTACGTTAAATGAAAATTAAAATACTTCTGAAGTATATTCCTTGTGGAAACATTTTCTGATCTGCGCAAATTTTATCTCACAGTATTTCACTTGCAAAATATCCATTAGTTATAGCATAACCTTGTTTTTAGTTACAACAATTTATCTAGGGCCAAATTATACTCACAGTAACTGAGAACTGTTTTTAGGTTGCACTCAAAATCCCTGGTTTCAGCCCTCCGAGATTTAGCGGATACACAACACTGCTAAAGAGTTCAGGGATTATTCATGGCACAGTGAAAACATACACACAGCTGAGACAACACTAAGGAAAATGTACTTCAGGGCTTTTTTGTGACCTTGGGCTAGGTACAAAAGGGAAAAGGTAATAATAGTCCCTGATCATTAGGCCTATCCTTTACTTTCCACCTCCCCAGTTCAAATTATTTTTAGCAGTTAAAACCAAGTCAGCTGTGTTGACCCAGGATATGAAATAATGAAGCAGAATTCACAGCAGAGATCTAGAAACTGGCCCTCCTATCTGCTCCTAACCCTTTAATCCTATTGAAAGAATGTATGCTCAGAGGAAAGCTTGTTTTTTAGTACAAACTATTTATATGCCCCTCTCTGACTTGAATATCACAATTAATATCCAACAAATTTCAAGTTCAGAATAAAGACAAGCACAGGTGCCTGGGTGGCTCAGTCGGTTGGGAGTCCGACTTGGGCTCAGGTCATGATCTCGCGGTTCGTGGGTTTGAGCCCCGCTTCAGGCTCTGTGCTGACAGCTCAGAGCCTGGAGCCTACTTTAGATTCTGTGTCTCCCTCTCTCTGCCCTTCCCCCGCTCGTGCGCTGTCTCTGTCTCGAAAATAAATAAATATTTTTAAAAACTAAATAAAAATTCTGAGTCTTCATAGAATGGTGTAACTGTATAGACGCATTTCAACACTTTATTTTTAAATATTTTTAAACATACTGGTACCCTTCGTAAAGGGAGAAATGGTAATTGGGGGTCAGTTGTCTGAATCTACCTGGCTCAGGCATAAAACTGATGAACAGACACCTGTTGGTCTCAAGTCCTAGAGACTCTGATTGCTTATTTGGCTGAGGAGAAGGAAGGGGCTTTTTATGCACTGGTTCTGAGAACCCAGACATAAAAGGAGGGAACAGTGATTGGTGGTGGGTGAAGTTGGGGCTGGGGGAGGAATGTGGAGCTGGAGTGGTAGTTTTCCATAAGAGGCTTGGGAACCTTTGGGGCTGTTCTGAAGGCCCAGGTAAAAATGTACAAAGCAAGAGTTGGGAAAAGGGCTGTTCTTCTCTGGTCTGCCCCAGACCACCATGCAGCGTTGGTGAGCTGAAGCCTCAGCACCTGCCGTGCCACGTGGGGCTCCCAGGAAGGGCAAGGACAATAGCCACACAGTCTGGGAGACTCCTTTAACTGACTCATAAGCAGAAAAAAATAATGAGGCCAGAGCATCAGCCCAAGAGTAGACCTGCTCCTGAGTATAGGAGAGACACTGTCTGGGGCTGCTCAGAAATCACTGAGAAGACCTTAAAGAGAGGATTGGAGCGGGTGGCAATTAGAGGGAGGACGTATAATGAGCTACTCAAACGTGGTCATAAATGTATACATGAACCAGTGAGGCTGAGGACATTCAGGTTACATAGCCATAGTGGAAAAGATCTACTCTTTCCTTAGATTCACAAAATCAAATATGTAAGGTCAGTCATATATAAGTCTCTTTTATTATGAAGTTCAAAGCATGGAGAGCTGACAAAGTCGAACTTCAAAATACAATGTTGGGAGTTAAAATGTCACTTTTTTCTCCAGTAAGTTTAATTTATTTAATCAAATTTTTGTTTGAATTGAAATTTTAGAAATCAGTTGGAATCTTTTAAGGATATCATCCTCCAATACATGGAAAAGAAACCCCTTCAATGTGTCGGTTCAAAATAGAAAGTTCTTGACACCTAAAGCCTAACTCCATGCCTATAAGGCTGATGTGTTAGGAGCTCTCTTTTAAAAAGGAGGTGAAACAGTTGCCTCCATATTGAACTTCTACCAAGCCAAACACCCTGCTGGAACAATAGAGATAACCATATGAACCACTTTCTCACGTTTCCCTTTGCATATCACATACCCGCTTCTCGGATCTTTTTTGTCCCCATTTAATAAAAATTACCAAAAATACATTCCTCACAATTTGTCCCATGATTTTTTTCCCTAGACCCATAGAGCTTTCAGAGGCTAAGCAGAAGTTTTAAAAATAGGAATCCATGCAACTATCTAAATTTTAGATACAGAAGATACATTTGTTTCTCATTTTAAATTTCAATTCATACTTTACTTAGGCAGCATGATATAGTAGAAAGAAAACTGAATCTGGAATGAAATGAATTCAGGTTCAAGTTCCACTTTCACCATCTGTATGAACTTGGGTAAGTTGCTAACTCTCACTGGGCTTGTTTCTTCAACTCTGCTATAAAGGACATATTAAGAAAATCATGTGAAATGTCATAATGTATTAATTATAGAACTGTGGGAATACACTTCACTATTCCACAATGTGTCTTCATAAGGAACTATAAGAAAAATTTCTCTCAAGACACAGGAACACAGAAGTCCTATATCCGTTGAATAACCAGTATGATTTTATCTCCTGCTGTGCATTCTAGAGTGGATTGTGTTTTAATATTTGCTTCGGTTGAGGCTCCGAGTCAAATCCATCTCTAACTATAGAGGGTCTCAAGGAATGTATTTTGTATTCTTATCAGCCACAAGATTCATCCTATTTTCCTGTTTTTATTTTTCCATGCATATTTTCTTATGGCTATTAGCCACTTCAAATTCACTATTAGAGTGAGGGAAGACAGGGGGAAAGGGAGCAAGGGAGTAATGCAGCCTATATGCAGGGTTATTTGGAAGATTAAGTGAAATGATACATGTGGAAATGTTTGGCCAATGGTTGTAAAAAATTACTATTAAAACTATAGCAAGGTTTTCTGCCTGAGGAAATAGGCAACACCAGGGCAAAAACACAGGTGTGCTGACTTATGGCTTAAGTGTATTTCCATTATATAAGTCAACTGTCAAGGAAGCAGTAATTAAATTGTAAGAAGTACGCTGTTGCATTCACTAGCTTAAATGAGGGAAAAGCAAGGTAGAATTTTCTCCTAGGCACATGGTCCATTCTCTCTTTCCCTCCCCTATACTTAGCTCTGTATTCTCTCAACGGTCCCCGATTCAAGGCCCTACAGGAATTTTGTTAAACACAAATGAGCAGGCTCAGCAAGGAGGTAGGAATCATTATAAAGAATGCTAAGGCAACTTCAGCCCTGGGAAGACTTCCTGGGAAAGTGACGGGGAAGTGCACTGAAACACTCTCCTATAGATCAAGGCTCCTTATGAACCCTGCCAGAACCGTAAAACCAAGAGGGTAAGTTAACACCACCCATCAACCACTTTAACAACAGTCGCCTTACTCTTGTTCCTAGAAAACATGCTGCAGATAAACCCTGAATCTTTCATATTTCACCCTCCCATGCTAACTTGCTTCAAGTCCCTTCCTCTGAGGACCACTTGTTGGAACAGAGTATCAGGGGACCTCAATTCCATTGAAGTATTCCACTGATTGCTCAAGAACTTTGGTGAATTACTGCAAATGAAATGAGATTCCCAAAGATTAATAAGGGTAAGAATAATTAACATCCTTGAGGTTCACATGATTTTCCTTAACTTTTAGTGCAAAATGGTTGAGAGGAAGATTATTTGAGTACTTACGGTATTTGTTAAGAGTTTTGTTTGCAATGCTGGACAAATGTATCTTAATTTAAAACGATTATTCTTCTTATCTATTCTCTATACTACAGATACTGCTTACACATAAGAACTGCAATTTCATTAATAAAAAGCAACAGCATCATCAAAAGAATTTTCTAAAACACAGAGAGAAATATGTTTTTACTCCTTAAGCCAGGTTTTCATTGTTTAATAAAAAATCTCAAATTTTGTGTTTTTTTATTTTGCATCTAACATTTTAATCTGTTTCATGTTGATTTGATACTTGATTTAAAAACTAAGTATTAATCAAAATCACATCTATTGAATACTATCCCATTAATAGCTAAAGCTTTTAGCAATGTTTACATTGATGTTCTTTCTGATTATTAACATGTTAAATGTCTCATAAAATAGAAAATTTTATAGAATACACTTAAAAATCAATTACAGGGGCACCTGGGTGCTCAGTTGGTTAAGCATCTGACTCTTGATTTCGGCTCACATCATGATATCATGGTTGGTGGGTTTGAGCCCTGCATCAGGCTCTGCACTGCCAGCACAGAGCTTTCTTGGGATTCTCTCTCGCCCTCTCTCACCACCCCTCCCCCCACTCATGCTCGCCCTCTCTCTCTCAAAATAAATAAACATAAAAAAAAAATCAATTACACAAAAGATCATTATCTCCAGAATGTCTACATTGTTTTCAACATCAAACCAGTTTCCCCAACAATTATGATTCTGAGGAGACCTACCAATTTCAAACTTTGTCCCAGCAACATTTGCTGTAATGATTCCCTTCTTTTTCTTCTTTCTGACTTTCCTTTTCATTGTGCTTTGATAAGGCAATTCTGTATTCAGATCCAGGGGAGAGGGTCCCTGAATAACTTTAAAAGAAATGTAAACCAGCCAAATATCACTGAAATAACAAAAATTCCATAGCAGAGAACACAAATGCCCCCCCCGCCAAAAAAAAAATAAAATTATAAATTCTACTTAAAAGTCCTCAATTAATTTTTAATTCTTAAAAAAAAAAATTCAGTGATGATCTATAACATATCCACATTTTGTAGTGTGATTAAGTCAATCTGCTTACCTCTTTCTTGAGGCAGAGATGGCATTATTGTCTGTGCCTGTGACAGTGTGTGTTACTGGACCAAGCTCTCAGGAAATCTGGAAGGCCTGCATGAGTCTAAGTAGGATACAGCTCTAAATCACTGAAAGTGCCTATCATATTATCTTGGTGGAATCCTCAGATTTCAGGACACCGAAGTTATGGGATGAGAAGGTACCTGTAGGGATTTTAAAACAAAGTCATTTTAGAAAACAACTCTGACGAAATTTTTCTATTGTCTTTAAAAGTCAAGTGAAGGTGAAAGTTACTGTACTCAATCGACAAATGTTTGTTAATTTATAAAATCTTACGCAAAATGCCAAGTGATAGTTCCCTGTCCTAAAAAGTGTAGTCTAGAGGAGGAGGTTTTATTTAAGTTACATATCATATTTATACACAATAAATAGCATGCCATACACAAATAATGACGATAACCACACTCGCTATCATCTACTGAACGCTGACTATCGTAGGCCACTTAAGCCATTTAATCTTGCAGCAAAACCATGAGGTGGAAGCTTTTATCCCTAGCTTACAGTTAAGTAAATTGATCTCAGAAAGGGCAAATCTTTACACAAAAGTGACAATGTGGAGATTAAAGTGAACAACTCTCTGGTGTCAAAGTCAGTGCCTTAACTAGGACCCCACACAACCTTCAACCCAACACCTGAAAGTTAGATGCAGCATCACTTTTAATATGACACAGTGAAGTGACTGCCAAGGCAGAGATCACATACAACGAAATACAGAGAAAAGCGATTCCTAGTGAAGGGGTGGCGGGGGTGAGGGGGGGCTTCTTGGTAGGGAGGGAGTTGATGACTTCATAAAGTAGACCACATTTGAATTGTGCCTTTAAAAATGAACACAATTTTGAAAGGCAGAAAATGAGAGGAGTCATCATTATGCTGATCTTATTTGGGCACACAGAGGAATGCAATAAACATTTTTTTTTAATTTTTTTTTTTTAACGTTTATTTATTTTTGAGACAGAGAGAGACAGAGCATGAACGGGGGAGGGGCAGAGAGAGAGGGAGACACAGAATCTGAAACAGGCTCCAGGCTCTGAGCGGTCAGCACAGAGCCCAACGCGGGGCTCGAACTCACGGACCCTGAGATCATGACCTGAGCCGAAGTCGGACACTTAACCGACTGAGCCACCCAGGCGCCCCAGCAATAAACATTTTTTAATGAGCTCATTTGATTCGGCTACACCTCAGCATGGCCTATATTACAGTCCACTTATTTTCACTGTGTATGTATGAACCTAGGTATTTATGCCCTGACTATACTATATTGCCCAGTCTATACTGTCAACTTTCTAATTTCTCCCTTCATGTTGTAAGAATCTTTAAGTGCTTGTAAAATGTCTCTAAGCACAATGAAAAACTATAAAGCCTATCATGATAAACAAAGGTATGGTATCAATACCTTTATCAGGAGGTTATCAGGTTTATCAGAAATTCAGCTATATAAAATGTGACTCTTAATACATCACCCTCAATAGTCATTATTAATAATAGGATTCATTATTAAAGAAAATTTAGAACTTAGTTTTTGGGTATCATTTTTACTAGAATAATTATCTAGAATAATTCAATATGAAAACTAGTTAACTATTACTTATTACAGAACAATTGTGGACAGGCACTGCTAAGAATCTAAAATATCTTACCTAATTAACACACCTGGAATTGAGATACCATTTCTGCAATTTTCTAGACATGGAAATCAAGGCTAAATAAGTTAAATATATCAAGGTAACACAGTTTATAAATAGAAACCTAGGCTTTGAACCCAACTCTGACTTATTGTTCATACTGTTCACAGAGCCCCCACTATTTTCAGACACCGTGCTAATATGCTATATAGATGTAAAAAAAAAAAAAAAAACCACAAAAACTTGGTAACCCAGTTGCAGTGCAAACTGCCAGTTATGGGTGTATTGTGGGAGATCACAATACTTCAAAATCAAACAGTGAAGTCACAGTAAACATCCCCAGCCTGACCTCAGCTCCCAATTCCAAGCTGGAAATAGACTAGATTACTTTTCAGAATAAAAGAAAGGAGTGGTCTAAAGTTCAGTGTGATTTCTTTCTGGAAGCTCTTTGATACCTCAGGGAGGTAACTATGTGGGTTTACAAGTCCTTGTCCAACATCTTGTTACTGGAGTAAACAAAGATTCTCTTATGGTAACAGAGTACGTATTACATCGAAAGTAGGTGACAAAGTCAAGAAGAGTTTGAGACAACATCTGCCAAACTACGTTGACAATAAGTTAGTAATTGTTATCAGCTCTAAAAACAGATTTGTTAACTTCTGACTTAAATAATGAGCCAAACAGCTTTGATTAGTATAGAGCTCAAAACAGGAACTGTTACCCCTTCACTCACCACACAGGAATTTAAAGGCCTTAAATCTAGTCTATCTTTATATGCTTTACTTAGTTGCATTTATATTTTGGTGAATAACAGTAAGAGTGCTTTAACAAACTCAAGAACTTCATCCTACCATCTCAATTCTAATCATTTCATTGTATCCCTAGTGAAAGATGTGAGACGGCAAGATTGATCACATCACTTAAATGAGCCATGGTTACCTACTTTCCAGAAGCGCACAGCATGTTTCAGTTACCTCCGAAATACTTCAAGCCAAGGGTTTCTTAAACTTGGCTGCAAAGTAGAATCACCTGAGAAACTTTTGAAACTCCTAGCGCCAAGGCCACACCCCAGACCCAAGTGGGGCCCAGGCATCAGCATTTTTTAGCTCTCCATATAATTGTGTCATGCAGCCAAATTTGACGTCTGCTGCGAGCACATAATGACACTGAAGCCAATAATAGTTATAACATACACAGACAAGAAAAAAGTAAAACAAAGAAGAAAACTTTGGAACCTGTATTTAAAAAGGCCAAATAGGTTAAAAAAAAAAAAAAAAGAAAAGAAAAGAAGAAAGAAAAAATCATCCATTATAATCTTCATCTCTAGTTGAAGTAAACAAATTGGGGAAAAAAAGAATTAGAAGATCAGCAGAAATTGATTTCTAAGACAAATAAGCAATTTTGTTCTGCAAATAAGCCATTTCCAGAAGGACTCAGTTCTCAAAAATGTCAAGCAAATGGGCACCTTGAATATAGAAGTTCAAGGGCTACCATGCAAAACAATAGATACATAAGACTAAAACACAAAAAGCTGTAATTCCAATACATTTGTGTTGGAGTGCTCTTTCTTCCCAGTCCTTTCTGTTGAATTACAACCCATCACTTAAAGTCCAGATACAAATTTCCACTTTTTCCTTAGAGCTTCCTCTGATTATGTTTGAAGAAATTCATTACTCCCTCTTCTGGTCTATCACAGAGACCATTATTTGTACCCCTATCATATCACCAACCACAAACCAAGAAGGTAAGCTCTGTGAAGACAAGTGGTTCTGGTTTTCTTCTATCTTCTTCAATCCTCCACTTCCAGAGCCTAGAATATTGCCTCACACAATGCCAAGAAAGTACTTGTTCATGATGCCACCTGGCAGGAACCAGAGGTGTTCATGGGGCTCTCAGAAACAAACACATATCATTTACAATATATTACTTTCACATTTTTAAGTGAAAAAGGCAAAGTATCTAGAAGTTTACATCTGGGTAAAATAACAGAAGAGCATGTGGGAAATATGCATCGAGTGGTGGCAGCCTGTTGTGGCAGGTGCACAGCTAAAGGAGACACCCTTTCGTGTACACCCATTAGTATCCCACGCTATTACCTTTTGAAAAAGTAAGATACATGTGATAAAAGTTTGTTTCATCATTACAATGTTAATAACAAACCCACCAAACTTTGCGTGTCATTTAGATCAAAATACAATATGATAGAAAGAGCACTGAACAAGAGGTCAGTTTCGATTCTTATCCTTTATTCTGCCACTTAACAGATACATGACTTAATTTCTTACTGTGCAAAAGGAAGAAATTGACTTTTTCCAGCCTTAGAAAATACCAATGCAATGAGGATAGCATTGGTTGGTATTTTTGACAATAAGATGAACACCAAACACCTTTTGTGGAAATTATGAGAGAAACTCAGATGTTCCCAACATCCCCAGGAATCTGTGCCCAGTGAATGCTATATAGAATGGGTTCTTCAAACATATTGGCAGAATTTTAATTACCATAGATTACTAAATTTTAGTAATCTTAACCAAAGGTCAGTGGGAACCAAAATTAGGGTTAAGATGAAAATATGTAAAATTATATTAAATAAAAATTTAATAAAAGCTGTTTTTATGATGAGAAGGAAGGAGAAAGAAACGAATATAAACCAGTACCTCCTGTGTACTAAGCATTTTTCACATAACTTCATGTGTATTTAGTCCACCTAATAAATGCCCTGGTATGTTTTATTCCCATTTTAAATATAGGAAAATTTAGATTTCATGGCTAAGTAACTTGTCCAAAGTCACACCTAATAGGTGACAATGAAGTGGCTTGTCTTTAAAGCCCATGACATTTCCCACTTTGTATGCTACCTTCAAAATTCAGTCTTTAAACATGACACATTGAAGATTTTACAAAGAAGCTTAATTCTGCTTGACTGGAGCTGTTTTAAAAGCTAGAGAATGAGAGCAAGAGAATCAAGCTGTGGTTTAAAATGTAGTTGAGATCACAAAGTTGCATCAGATTTAATCTGTCTTCTTAGAACCCCAAGGCAGCTATCCATATCCAGACTGTCTTCCTGTTTTTTTCCTTCATGAAGGTACTACAATTCAACAAATACTCTTATGTAGCAGCCACTGTTCTTAGTGAGCAAAATAGGTAAAAAAAAATTTTTCTTTGTGGTGCTTACACTCTAGTTGGGGAGAGACTAACAATAACAGCAAACATATTAAATAAGTAAACGTCAGAAAATGCTAAGTACTGGGGGGGTGGGGAACACAACTGATTAGGAGACCAGGAACGTGGGGGGAAAGTAAGGAGAAGAGTTACAATTTCATTTTATTTTTATTTAACGAAGAGCCTTT